TCCCTCAGCATGTTATTCCTAAAGAGCCTACTCACGTCAGTGCTGCAAGGAGACAATTAATTCGTGAACCCCCGCATCCCAATGCCTGAATAGGGAGCACACAAGCTAAACACTCTCTTCTTTTGAAAAGAGAAGAATGAATACAAACCATGCTCTGCACCACAAGCTTCCCACAGCCATCTCAGATAGGGACAGAATCATTTCAATTAACAAAGTATTCCCGTAAACCATGTCTATCAGACATTTTTCCTCCCCCTTTCTTTCTCCCTCTCTCTTTTTAAATCCAAAGTTTGAGCCCACACATACTTACTCCCCAGGAGACTTAACATTTGCTGCACTGGCAACTTCATACATTTTGAGATGATCTGGGTGTGGCCCTTCCTAATTTGGTCTAGATGATGACATTTTTGGTCATATAGTTAAATAAATGATTGCTTTCAGATACAGCTCTTTTAGGTCCTACTTCTTATTTATGTGGCTGTATCCTGCTTTGGGGACACTTTTTAATTTAAAATTTGCCTCTGAGTCATTTAAATCTAGTTTGCATGCAGTTTCTATATTTCTGCTAGTTTGCATGCAGTTGTTTCTATATTTCTGCTAACCTTGAGTAATAATGAATCAGTAATAGATTTTAATAGGTTTTCTTTTTAAATGAAAACAAGCAAGTGAAACCATGAGAAGTGATTGGAGGGATGACTTTCCAAAACACCTTAAAACCTAAGTCTTAGCACAAGGAGGATGTTTGAAACGGGGGCAAGAACATTTTGTAAATCAAGTCACATTTTACGTCTGTAGGTAGCTTTACTCTCGGTTTAGAACTGAGTTACATGTTTAATATTAAACTCGCTTCAATACATTGAATATATTTATTAAAATATAAATTCATCAACAATTTGTGAGATATTTGTTACCCCCCCAAAAATAAAATTTTTATCCAACAAATCAGATTTACTCTGTAATTTCTGTTTTGAAGAAAAAAAACTTATGAGTTGTGTGTGTGAGAGGAAGAGAGAGAGAGAGAGAGAGAGAGAGAGAGAGAGAACACCCTGAGTGTCCAAAACATGTATTTAAACATCACCAATTACAGACGCATTCCCTACACTTAAGTCCTTGGGCACAGCCTTTGCAAACACATATTCAGGTGGAGCCAGGAGAGTATTTATGGAGCTCAGGGCAGTCCTGCTGGGAACTGCTTCCCCTGTGACAGGGTGGTAATGCAACTTGGGTGGACCATATCCAAGAGAAATAGATTGAGGCTGTATGTGAGGCCGCATCAAGGAGCCAGAACTGTAATTTCTTCATGGCTGCAACCTATAGGGATTGGTGAGGAGAAAAACAGCTACAAGCTGTGGCTGCAAGTGAAGAGTTCTCATTTTTTATTTATTTATTTTTTTCTGAACTCGATCCTATTTTCTCATTCCTGATAAAGCCTGCCTTGCCAAGGACACCAACTTTAATTGAGCCACTAAAAGAACATGGTATCCACATAATGGGGATGCTAGTATTCACAGCAGGCAGAAGGCTCCATTCTACTGATGCAAGGGCCAACTTAGGAAGAATGGTAAAGGCTCTAACAGGAGCGAGTCACAGGACTGCTATGCTTCTGACCCCGTCCATCTGCCTGGTGACGCCTGGAGAGCGAAGGAGGTGGCCACAGCACACACACTGAGGGCTGCTGGCTAACAAGAATGAAATGCTTCATCTCCACTAAATTCCAGGGGGAAGATCCCCAAAGACTAAGAGATGGACAGATGCCCAATGTGATGGAAAATGCAGGTAGGCACTCAAGCTTGACACCTACCATCCCATAAGCTGTGTCTACCTGGAGAAGTCACCTTGTTGCATTCTCCTGCTACTTCCTCTTCCTTAATGTAAAGGTGATCACACCTCCATCACAGGGTCCCTGTAAGAACTGAGTGAGGAAGCGATACTCAGTAGGCACCTAACTGGTGTTTGTTCCCTCCATTCAATTTTGAAAGCTTACTAGGAAATCTATAACGATCAGCTCCAGGTCTAAGACTACTTTATCAGTCGATTTTTCCATTGCTACAACAACATACCTCAAGCAAGAAAATTTGCAAAGGAAGGAGTTGGTTTAGCTCACTGTTTAGGAGGCTGAGAGTTCAGGCCATCAGTCAGGGCTCTGGTAGGCCTTATGGTAGGTGGGATTACAGTGAAGGGCAATATAGGAAGTCTGGGGACTCAAGGCTCAAGCTTGCTCATTTGTAACAACGTAACGTCACAGCAACTAAGTCATTCTGGAGACCAGCACCAATCCCTTCTGTGATTCTGTGACAATACTCCTAGTAACTTAACTACCTCCCTGTAGGCCTTATTCTTCAAAACTCTACAACCTCAACAACTCTGCCATGCTGAGAACCCAGCTTCCAACAGAAGAGCCTTTGAAGGACAAACCACATGCCAACTGGTGCAACCATTGGCCCCAAAGCCACTACAGGTACTTCTTCTTGCAGGGCCATTTCCGGAAGAAATGGGAAACCCACTTGCCTTAACCCCTCAGAACTCAGTTCACTGCAATTGTGTTCCCCACGGGAAAGTCTGCTCATCTCCAAGCTTGTTCCCAGAAGTCGGGAGCCTTCCAGAGGCCCTGATCAATGGGGCTGCTGGATCTTGAACTTTCAGTCTCCAACACACGAGCCCTTTCTTTAGAAAGTACCCAGCTTTGTGTATTTTGTAGTAGCAACAGAAAGCAGATTAAAGCAGTGGTCTTAGGTGGTGCCTTGTTCCTCCCTGCCCAGCTTACAGCCGGATATAAAGTCAGCTTTTATAAAATATTAGATTGGGTAAAGTAAAGGGAATGTACCAACACCTAAAATAAGGAAAACCAATGGGAAAGCCATTAAGAATTCTGTTCACCCCTGTTCCCTACAATTTTTTCATTTAAAAAATAAGTAACTATGATGGTTTTAATGGAATGACCCCAAAAGGCTCATATATTTGAAGGCTTGGTCATTAGGGAGTGGTGCTACTTGACAGGGATTAGGAGGTGTGGCCTTGTCAAAGTAGGTGTGGCCTTGTTGGAGGAAGTGTGTCACTGCGGGTGGGCCTTGGGGTTTCAGAAGCCCAAGCCAGGCCCAGTGTCTCTCTCTTTCTGCTACTTGCTGATCTGGATGTACAAGTCTCAGCTCCCTCTCTAGCACTGTGCCTGCTTGTGTACTGCCATGCTTCCCAGCATGATGACAATGGACTGAAACTCTGAAATCATCAGCAAGCTGATTAAATGCTTTCTTTTATAAGAGTTGTTGTGATTGTGGTGTCTCTCTACAGCAACAGAGCTTTGAGTAAGACAGAAATTGGTTCCAGGAGTGGGGTATTGCTGTGACAGGCTTGACCATGCTTCTTGTTGGTGGAATGTGACCTTGGGACTGTGGATTAGGAAAGCAGCTGGACGCTTTAAGTGGGGCTTACTGGGCATCCTAGTAGGAACAGGGAAGAGAGTGGAGCTGGGAGCAGTGCAGATTATGATGGCCTGGCTCAAGAGGTTTCAGACGAGAAGAATATTAGTGGCCTAGAGATTGTTCTGTGATATTTTAGTGAATAATGTGGCTGCTTTTTGCTCTTATTTGAAAAGTCTGCCCAAGGCTAAATTTAGAGTTTTTGGATTAATGGCATTGGCAGAGGAAATTTCAAAACAGGCTAGTATTGACTGTATCACGTGGCTATTAGTGGCCAATCTTATGCAGATCTATAATGAAAAGGAGCAAGCTGAGCAAGAAAAAACACAAAATGTATAGTTTGAGGAGAAAAGGAACACCAGAAACAAGTTTGAAGAAAAGTCTAATGCTAGATGGAATAAAGGGAGTGATGACCTCATAGCAAGACCCCACCCAGCTAAACTTTCATCTTGTAAAAAGTAACATGCTCGCCTTATATACAGAGGAGCTGTATGATATTCCCAGAATCCTCTAAGAATGATGAACATTGTGGCACGTACTTGTGATCTCAATGCTGGATAGAGAAGCAGAAGGATGGTTCCCATGGCTTGTGGGCTAGCCTCTGAATCTTAGTTAGCAAACTCTAGACCAATGAGACCAATTTCTCAAAGAAGGTTGTCCTATGGCCTCCTCTTGAACCACCACACATGTTCATCTCTATACATGGAGACATACACACAGAGGTTTGGTCACCCCTTCCCTCATCCTATACATAAAAACAGGTTTTAGCATAGGATGGGGAATTTTTAAGACATTCCTGGAAGAGAAGACAAAATTCAGGGCTTCATTCTACCTTCCTTCCCAAAGGATGAGGAGGGGAGTGTCTGGCAATCCAGTCTTAACACCAAGAACGTTAGCCAGCTCCAGTAGATTAGCTGGACAAGGCTGTTCATAGTCACTTCGCTTATGGGGTTTGAGAAGGAATAATGAAGCTGCCAGGTGACTAGATTTTGGGTCCTAACTTCTAGGTTGGCACCAATTCAGGGCAGAGACTGAATAGTGTTAGGTTGCAACAGAGTTCAGCTCTATACACCCAATTCTCTAAACTATGTTTTCGAAGATGTAAAAGGAACCCTTGAAATGTGGTTGAGAAGTAGGTAAATTCCTTCTTTGAAAATTAATGGTAAAATGACCAAATGTTTCAAAATTGATGTTGGAGGCCCCATTGACACTTATGTGTGTATGTAGGTGGGTGGTATGTATAGGGGTGTGTGTGTGTGTGTGTGTGTGTGTGTGTGTGTGTGTGTGTGTGTAGGTGTGTGTGTAAGTGAGGAGAGAAAGAGAGAGAGAAGGGGAGGGAGGGAGGGGGAGAGAGAGAGAGAGAGAGAGAGAAGGGGAGGGAGGGAGGGAGAGAGAGAGAGAGAGAGAGAGAGAGAGAGAGAGAGAGAGAGAGCAGATTTGGTCTCTAATGAAACTGATTGCTACCACCAGCAAAACATGAGTTGCAAGAAGGCATTACTTTTATTAAATAAGCACATCAAAAGATAGAATGCTATTATTCCTCAGAAAAAGGAAGGAAATGGGGCCACCGGGTTATTTTGTAGTTGTTTTTGCTATTCTTTTGGATGAGAGCACAAAATTGCCAGTGGTGTCTCTTTGCAAAATTGAGTTAAACACTTAGAGGAAAGGAAAATAGCCGCAACATTACCCTTCTTCAATTCTCCCACATTGCTCATTGGCACCACCTTGGACCACTGCCTTGATGCCCACCCTGCCCCCATCACTTTGCTCACTCGGTCCTGTCTGCTGTTTGGCTCCAGGGCACTCATGGAATAAAGCAGGGAAAATGCTTGGTACTCTGGGCATGACTCGCTTCCCAGAAGAGTGCCCTTTTGAATTCCTCTTCCTCCTCCTGTGTGGTCATCCCTCCAGCTTTGCAGGCCTGCGATCTACAGCAGAATAAGTGGTCTAGGCCCAAAGGGCTTCTATTCTTTCCTCCAGTCACCATTCCCTCCCAGCAAGAGCGGTTAATGAAAACCCTCCGATTGGGTGCATTTGTTGCGCTTCAGAGTCTTGTTGCCATTTAAAGCATTTAAAATTAGGTTGGTTTCTGTTGTAGCCCTTTCCATAGCCAGTTAATCACAGGATTCGCTGCCACATTGAGGCCACAATGGGGATGGCACATGCGACCAGAAAGGAAGCCACCAAGTACAGGCCAAGTAGCTAATGTGCTTACAAAACACAAATTGTTTCAAATGCTTTGAACATGATTTTATTTGTTTCTTGCCATCTTTTGCTCAAGATTTGTTTCTCTAGGACCCAGCACCAAGCCTGGCATATTTGTTAACGAGTGAGTAGGTTTTTGGTTTTCCCCTGAAAGGCTGACCAAAGTAATAACAGGCTTTTGCTTGGAGAAAGCAAGCCTGGAGTTTGAGTTGGGAAGTTTCCTTTTACTGAGCTTCAGATGCTAGCCTCCCATTCTCCTTTCTGGCCCAGCTGCTGGGACCTACTGATAATAGTATTCAAAGTTGGAGGAGCCATGATGCACAAGAACCAAGAACCAGTGAGTCCATTCAAAGCCATCTTTCAACGAAAAGCTTGTGGATTGCCTTTACTTGGAAGCTCAGTCAGAGCAAAAACCCAAGTTAAATGTGAAAGCTGGGTCTTATTGAACCCCAAATGTAGAAGGAATGGGGGGAAGTGGTTAATTTTGCCTTCACTTACTTCTGCTGATCCCCAAGTCCTCATGCATACACACCACCCCTCCCCTTAGGTACCGTTCCTGTTTCTGCCAAGCCCCCTTACCTGGTATCTCTCGATTTGATTTCCCAGTATTGCTCTAGCATAGGTTTAGCAGGAAATTTCTTGTTTCATGATCTTAAAATGATCATAAAATATTTATTACCATACATGGGACTGGGAATCAAGACCTCATGAGTTCTGACTTGCTTTTCTTCTGGCTTGTATCCCTTCAGGCGTGTCTCTTAATCTCTCACTCCGTTCCCATGTCTGCAGAGTGGAGATGATTCAGCTGACCTAGTTCATAGGATACTGGGTTGAATAGCTCATTAGTGACTGTAAGACTCATTGAAAGCGCAGTATAATAGATAAATGCTCATAAATGACAGGACGCCTTACAGTGCAGGAACTTCTAAGGATAAAGTAAAATGCACGTGGTTTTCACATCATGCCCAATGACAGAAGTAAGTGGGAGCAACTCCTAGCTTACTTCCTTAATGTTTTCATCCTCCTGACTTGTGGACAACCAAAGGGCCCAATGAGACAATGAGCAATTGGAAAGACTTACCCTAGATAAATAATTCTTTCTTCATACTGTTTGCAGCTTCTGAATTCTACTGGATACTTGAAGCAACAAGGCCAACCAAGAGTGTGAGGAATAAGAGAAGAGTTAGTGATCTGCTTTCTTGGTGTTCTGTTTTGTATGCTTGTTTGATGTGTGTGTGTGTGTGTGTGTGTGTGTGTGTGTGTGTGTGTGTGTGTGTGTGTGTTGGAGGATACAAGGCCATTAAAGGTTCCATTCAGGAACTTTCCATGACAGAAGTCTGTCCATCTCAGAACCATGAGCATAATTATTACCCCATGTCATAGTCAGCTTCAGCTGTCAACTTGGCATAAACCTACAATCATCTTGGAACGAGAACCTCAACTGAAGAATTCCCCAGATCAGATTAGCCTGCGAGGCATTCTGTTAATTGATAACTGGTGCAGGAAGGCCAGGCCCACGATGGATAACAACATCCCTAGGTAGGGGGAGCAAGCCACTAAGCAGTGTTCCTCTGTGGGTTTTTCTTCCAGTTCTTACCTTAACCTTCTGTCTTAGCTTTCCAAGATGGTGGTCTAAAACCTGTGAGATGAAACAAGCCATTTGCTCCACAAGGCAAGTTGCTTTTGTTCATAGTTTTACCACAACAACAGAAAGTAAACTAGAGCAGTTACTTTAATAATGTGTAGGTACTGACATCACATTCTCCCGCTCCTTCAATTCTAGGTGTCTCTGTGTCCCATAAAACAAGAGCTTGGTCTCTTGGTCTTGAAAACTGTGTTCAGGGCTGCCATTATTTCAATGTTGTTGAAGGATGCTTCGCCCTGAAATGGAGGTGACCTCGACACACCTGCACCTTTCATCCACCAATGCAGTTGAGGACTGCCAGGCAGAAAACACTGCTGTAACTTCAGCGACACATGGCCTGCCGTCTGGTGTGGGTCTCCATGGTGGAGACAGCATGGTAACTCTGTGAGATACAAAGAGGAAAACTGAAAAGATCCTTTAAGGAAGCAAAATACTTCTAAGCTATGCAGAGCTTAAACAAGAGCCTAAATTAATTCTGCTTTTCAAAGAGATTGAAATAGAATGTCATGTTCATATAAGGACTACACTTAAAAATCAGAACCAATGGATGGAAAGTTTTAGACTCTATGGCAATTATAATAATAACTAATATAAATGAACTACATTCATGAATGCTAAGCTACATATTGTGTACATAGTATAACAGTTCATTTTCACCATAACCTTTAAAGAAAGTTGTTCACTTATGTAAACATACTTATTTTGTGGTACTAAGTAGGAAATAGTAGATAGTGGGGTCAATATTTCTGCTACAGCAACTTTCAAAATAGGTACAGCATAAAAGAAAAGGTAGTTTTAAAGATCTTGGCAGGTCAGGGAATTGAGGCGAGTTAAACAAGCCAGAGGGGAAGGCCTTTTGAGAGGAGCAGTCTGTGACTAACCATTTTCTTCTGGGGAAGTTTTGCCAGTTCTACACACGGGCTGGTGGGGACTTGGCCCTCACAGAGGGGCTTCACCGAGGGAATGAGAAATCAGCACAGCTCTCAGTGGTCATGTGGGGTTGGCGGGACAATTGGAAACTTCAGGCATCCTAAACACCTGGTTAGTTTTTCCCACAGTGTGTTTGCTGAAATAGGGCACTAGGAAGCTTTTATAGCACACACTGAAACCCCCTGTTCGTACGATGGAATTTAAGAGACAAAGTCTCTCTTGATGATGAGACCTGCCTCAAACAGATGGCCAGACTCATCCTCTAGACATTCGCCAAGGTTGGGAGCAACACTGGAAACCAAAAACCAAAGTCCCAAACCCCTGAAGGGTAGACTGAATTTCCCACAGTCTTCCACAGTTAAGGTGATGGAGACTTTCAATGAAAATACTTGGAAAAATATGCCTGAAAAACAGAGAGAAATCAACTTAGGGTCATTAATACCTACAATTCAGTCTCAAACCACTTTAATGCAGGCTAGAATGAGGTGACCAGCCACTGCCTAAGATGATGGCTCTAATGTAGGCCCCTCACAGGTAGAGGATGTCATCTGGAGCATCTAAAGATGCTTGCATCCAGTGTTTGAAACAGATCTGGAAATAATTAGATTCATAAAGAACCTGGAAAGGAATGGTTGGTAATCAGGAAACTAAACATAAAAACAATGGATCATCAATGGCTCAACGGTTCAAACAGAGCTGTGGGTATATATGGGTTCGAACAGAGCTGTGGCTTTGGAACAACCAATGCTGACAGTCTGAAAAAATTACAGTCAAAGGAGGGCAAAATACATGAAAAGACACATAATTTCTAGTGAAAATTGGAAAGCTAAAGATTGTCGTCCTAGAATTGTAAAATGATCTTGGTGAATAACAACTCCTTTGTAACGGAAGATTAACTGCAGAGGGTGGACAACTAGACTCACAGGCAAGCATGTAGAAAATGCACGAGCTGAGATACAGAAAAAAGAAAGGAGGGTGGAAGAGAGAGGAAGGCAAGAAGGGAGGGAGAGACGGAGTGAGGGAAGGGTTAGCGACAGGGCTCAGTGGGTAAAGATACTTGCCGCCAAGCCTGATGACCTGAGTTAGGTCTTCAGGACCCATATAGTAGGAAAGAATTGACTCCTACAAGTTTTTATCCGACCTCCATATACATGCACACTCATGCATATGCACATTCACATGAGTGCACACTCATGCACATGCACTCACACACATGCACACATACAAACATAAGTAAATAAATGAAATGCTAAAAGAAAGGGAGAGGAGGAAGATGGTGGGTAGACTTGGTAGTGCATGTCTGTAATCCCGACCACTTTGGGGCTGAGGCAGGAAGATAAGGCCAGTGTGGACAATTTACTAAAACCTGCTATCAAAATAAAAAGTAAAAAGAAACCAAGAAGCTGAGGATGTACTCAGGTAAACGATTCTAAATCATTAAAATACACAAATCCCTAGGGTCAATCCTCAATACAGAAAAAAGAAAAGATACAGGGTTGGGGAGAAGGAGGAGGAAGAGGAGAAGGAAAAAGGAGGAAGGAAGGAGGGAAGGAAGGAAGGGAGAGAGGAAGGGAGGGAGGAAGGAAGGAGGGAGAGAGACTGGAGTGAAGGTCTTTTCAGCCAAATAAAAGTGGATAGAGGGTATTGCCAATAGACCTTCACAAGCAAAGATATTGATGCATACAATAGTGGCAAATGCTAACATGAATACATCTAGTAGAGATAACGTGGGCCAACAGCACAAAGGATGAGAGAAAAGTCTATGAAGCTACAACGTGGCAATATTCTAGTGTTGTTAGGGAAGGAACAAGGTTAACAGCCTAAGGAACGCTACACTGTTAAGAAGAAATACTTAAATATATGAGATGCCCACTGGAAAGAATAAAAGCAAACAACTGTAACTATAAATAAAGATAATACATTGAAAATGTTTACTAATCTTCAGTAGAGACATAAGCAATGTCTACCCCGAAGGTTCCAACCACAGACTGAGATTTGGTTACTCCAAAATTCACCTGGGGGGACCAGTGAGAATGGTTGGGAGATCATGAGTAAGAACACAGGTGATCTTAAACAGCCATACTGTAAGGTCTGTGCTCAGCAGGGATGACGGCTTCCCCATGGCTCTGTAGATGGTGGCCTCTTCCTCACCCTTCCCCACATACATCCTCTGGCCTCTCCTCCTAAAACCCATGCATTTAGGGCAGAATTGCATGCAATTGATTGGACAAGGTAGCTAGATAGTCAAGATACGGTTCCATGACCCTCTTGGCCTTCTCCTTTTGTGGGGAAAGGTAAGCAGTCAGCAGGTCCAGCCATGATGATGGTGAGCAGGCCCGGTGAACTCCTGAAGATGGTGGTGATTTGGCTTGGGGGATAGTCCTGTACATACCTGCTTAAGAAAGTAAAAATATCTCTCATTCCTTTCTATGAATTTGTTCATCCTGGATCATTTTGTCTTGATAAGGTGCAAAATTTAAAATGCTTCAGAACTATTCCAGACCCCCTTCTCTGTGCCAACTCACAGGATTTTGTTCTCTACAAGTTGATTCTAAATATTTATCCATGCTGTAGCCTTTGATTTTCACACAATTTGTGGAGTACTTTTTTCTCTGCCTTGTTTATCAAAAGCTAGGCACAGTTAGAATGTGAGGAGTGACTGAAATATGAAAAAAGACATGTTAAAGTTTACAATGAGATTTAAAACATCATCAGTATAGATAGGAAAGGGAGTTTGAAGGGAAGAATCAGGGTCCTTCCTCTGAAGCAAACTTCTAACATACAGCCTGGATGATCACTTAGGAGGAGCTGTTTGCCGACACAAAGACCCATCCATTGAAAGCTGCAAATCTTTCAGTTCAGATACTAAAGTCATAAAGGACACAGCACCAATGTGTATCATCCCAGTACTCTGAGTTGTTTCTGGAGTCTTCTATGTCTTCTCTGCAAGGAGGATGAACTGATGCTTGGGTCCTTTGTTGCTTTCAGAAACCCGCCTCCGGAAGCAATAAAGGATCTTGAGAAATGAACTAATGGTGAGAGTCATCAACCTAGAAATTATAAATAATCACAGGCTTGCTGGTATGCACAGATGGAATGCTGTAAAGAAACACTAGAAGGCTTTCACAAGCATGTCTCCTTTTCAATCAGAAATCATTTGCTTTGGATGGCTTGGCAAAGACCAATCGTCTGCCAGTGCTACTGTTTTTAGGTCGATCTTTTTGAATGAAATGGTACTTTGAAGTAAATGAGGGAAGATTACTTGATGGATAGAGAATGATAGATTTACCTTAGTTTTATTGCTTGTTTCTTTGTTTTTAAAGATAGATTCTTAAAAGAAGGATGAAATCAGAAGAAGGACATTTTGGACAAGTGAACTATATAAAATATTAAGCATAAGTTAAGGAGAGAAACAAATATCTTGGAAAACTAAGGCCCCCACATCCTGCACAGTCAACATGATGCATTACTATAGTCGTGTGGGGGCTAATCAGTGATACCAAGAAAAAAGTAGTGCATAAACTTATTTGGCATAATAATGGTTTCACTGAATATAACCTCCCAATTCCCTCTCTCTCTCTCTCTCTCTCTCTCTCTCTCTCTCTCACACACACACACACACACACACACACACACACACACAAGGGCTAGGGACTGTATCAATAACAAATGAAGAATTCAGGGAGAGGCTTGGCTTCACATGACTCTTGGTTGGTGGTTCCAAGGGTACAGATCAACGTCTTCCTCACAGTGCTCTACACTTTTGGAGCAGTACTCCATTCTCCAGCAGGTCTCACTCACCCCTGAGACTTCCTGGGCTTGGTGGTACTTCCCTTCATTTGAGAGGAGTGGGAAAGAAAACTCGGAATAACCAGTTTGGAGTCCTGATTTATCTGCCAAGTTTCTTGTTCCCACATTTAAACCAAACCCTGTAGCCATGAGGGTATGCCCTCTTGTTGCCCCCTACTCCAGACCCCACAAACAGAAATCAGGTAAATTATACTTCGGTCATATGCCTGACAGAGGAAGAGGACCTTTGGGTTGGAGGGGGGGGGGATACTACAGACAGAAGGAGATGGCTCATTGTTCTCTACCATAGGAAGAAGAGACACACAATTTCTGTTAGTGGGTATCTGGCCTTGGATTATAGACAACTTTTAAGTGACTAGTGTATATTTTATTTCATAATTTTCAATACAGTTTTAATATTTATATGTATATAAATAACTATGTACTTAACTTAAATCATTTGAAGTCATAGATTCATTAAAAATGCTAAATTGCTACTGTAGGTAAAACTTTGTAAACAGACTTATAGATGAGTTTCTACTTTAAGTGTAGAACCAGGAGGTGAAGGGCTCTGAGCAACATGTGGAACCACAAGAGGACAGACTGGTGAGAAGAGATTGATTTCACAATCAAGCAACAGTTGAGAAATGTTAATTTTGCAAT